ACACAATGTTTGAGTGATTACTATGTGAAGTTACTGAATTAATATAAAATGCTGTGCAGTTATCACAGAAGCCTCGTGCCTATGATGCGTCATAGATTTCCTCCCACAGAAAGACCGTAAAAATATAACATTCTTATTCAATAACTATCCCAATAGCCAATGAAATGAACAATTAGGCCTTCTTACAATTTCTGGGCACTCATAATCAATGCCAGCAGCAACTATCCTCTCCCGTCGTTTCCGATCCTGCTTCAGTATCCGACCCACCATTTTTCTGTGCTCTTCCAATGTCTTTTCCTAAATTATAATCATGTAATAAAAGCAATTATATAACTAACACTTTTTTTTTGTGTTAAGATAAAAACTTATTTTTGACAATGATATGCAAGAGGATATCCTATCCCCACACTGGGTACCTTGTTATGCCGCTTTCTCTCAATTTCAACCCAGTCAAGTGGCTTGTATCGGTAATTAAAACCTTTCCACCTATATTTCAAAGGATAACTTGTGATAATCAATTTATTGGAAAAATGCAATACTAGCAAGCAAGGAATTCAAGTCAGGTTTCTCAATAAAATTTTCTTCTTGCAAAAGCATGCTATTTGGCACTGTTCATAGCAACATATTGTCTGATGCTAATTGGTTCTCTAACTCTGTTCACAAGCAAAAAACATTGTAAGTTCTGAATTTTCTACAGCTTTAACCATCTAAACCTTCATTCACACGAAGAGATTATGTAGAATATTTTACTTTTGGAACAGTAAGAAAAATAAAAAGAATGTCTCCTGTGAAAATCTTACTCATTTTTCAACATAAGTGAGAATTAGATTTTTTCTTTATGGATATTTTTTGGATGCATAAAAGAAATCAATTACATATGTTTTTCCAGTCTAGACAGAAGATGACCAATTGTTTTCAAGGTCACAAGCCATCAAGCAATTTCAAATCACAAATGAGATCAACCCCGTGCTACTTACTAGTAGCTTACCTCTGAGTTGATATCCATCATCCTATTTTAAGTTGAGAGAGTATATAAGCCTATATTAGCAAGTTTCAACCAATCCTAATTCCTCTTCCTCCCATAGGATAACTTTCCTCCCTCTCCTTTTTCTTGTCAATTTCCCTACACTTTTGACAGCAGTTTCAAGTAACAGGAAACACATTTTACTCACACTTCCAAAGACATTATGTAATAAAGAATGACCAAACAACTAACAGCCCATTTGATTCAAATCCTATTTTATTCTCATTCGCTTCTTTGACCTAAACTACTTGATATGCAAAATTAGATATTTTTTTCAATTTGACTCCTAATCAAACTAATTCAGATCCCATGTTAAATTTCGTGGGAATATATTTCTACTGCTACTTGATTGACAAATTCATCTAACTTAAATTGAACATGGAATTAAAGTTCTCATCTAAGCTCCGTCTTCTTCCTATTTCATTCTTCTTTTATTCAATGGAGTTAACATTTTGAATTAATTGTGAGCCACCAGAAACATTTGTCGAGCTAGTATTTTAAGCTAACATCACCTGATTTAATCATGATACTATAAACATATAGAAAACAATCGGATTAAACATAGTATTATTAATAACTTACAACTTTGGATGAACATGCTTGGGAGATATAAGATGGACTTGCAAAAGGTGCTCAAACAACAAATAGTTATGCATACATTCTGCCACAACTTCTGCCACCTGTAGACAACCAAATGTACATTTAAAAAGAAAAGAATAAAACACAGCATGCAAGTATTTAAAACAAACTGAACCGCATCAACCTCTGGATCCTCGAACTCTATGAATCCAAAATGTTTTGATTTTCCAGTCTGTTGACATCAATTAATTAAAATTAGATATAAAAGAAAAATAGAGAAAAGAAAAGACAAGTGTTATTTAGATACTTTAATCTACATTTTCAACAAACATGAAAGTGCTGAAAGAAGATGAAAGGGCAAATGAAACACAGTACATACAAGATGAGATAACACTCCCTTTGAAATATCATTTTTTTGTTTGTATTCAAAGCTAGTCGGTTACAAATTTGGAGATCAGAGAGTAAATCCATAAAAAATGAATTTTCTTCTTTTCGTTGAATTTGTGAAAGTTAATTTTCTTCATGCATGGGTACAAGAATTACTTAGTCACAGAACTTATTCTTTTCCACCCAAGGTACTGTAATGGTGTTTTACTTTTGTAAATACTGAAATTCCTCACCCGCTTGTAAATTGATATACAAATTGTTTTCAGAAAAAAGTTAGGTGTCACAGAAACAATCACGATGAAAACAATTGAGTTGCTTTTCTTCTGTCTTGCACAAAAAAGTTGCTTTTCTTCTGCCTTCTAGAAGTCATTTTGACAATGACATCAAACATTATCGCAGTCCTGTGACAGATGCAATCTGTCCCAACTTGAACATCATAAAAACCTCAAAGCAGTTCAAAAGAGAGAACACAGGAAATGTAAGCAATGGTTAATATCTGTTAAATGCTTTAATAACTTTGTTTTTGGGTCTATTCTAACAAGTAGTTGAGAACCATTTTCAGTATAATACTACTATTACTTAAAGTATGGCCCACAAAGAATGCTACAAGCTCGCTCGCCATAGATATCCGAATTCCCAAATAAGTTAGGACTGATGGAAGCACATACAACCTTTCCTAGCTAAAGCACTTGGCACCCAAACCATATCATCAGTTAACTCAGAAAATGATTGCAAAAACAACCATAGGAACTTATAAGTCTACTCAAATGTTGGTTCACTCACAGACATAATAACTCGTACTTTCTATTAAAAAGAAAACATAACGTCTCAAACTGACGGTAGCTAAGAAAACTTCAGTTGTTTCAATTATCACCACAAGACAATAACAAGAGAGCTGAACACATTACTAAAGTCAAGCATCTCTTATTGTCCTGCATCAGGAAGATAAACTGGAGTAAGGACATGGTTCATGATATAGATAATCGGCAATACAAGCAAAGAAGCACCAAAATCTTCTTGAATCACAAACTTCAGCTTCTTTTAACCAGATGAAATATCAACTATTTAAATGACTGCAAAAAGAACATGCAATTTCCAACAAATAAAAGAGCTTCTCCCTCTTGACAATGGCTTTCAACAGATATAAATATTGCACAATAATGGACTATTTCTATGCAGATACTGATGACTGAAGTTAAAGAATAAACAAAACTAACACTTAATTGAATTTAATATAGATTGCAATGACAACAACAGAAGAAGCTCCCCCATGAAACAGGATGTATACAGTTAATATACACAAAAGATTTTAAATAAAAAAAAAAACTTAACAAGTAAACTACGCTTAAGTCTTAACCTTTTTATTCCGTGCAATTCGTAATCTCTTGATTGTTCCAAACTGCCGGAAGTAGGCTGGAATCAACAACTAATTATCAGGGGTAGAAACTCAAACATGCTGCTTACGAAAATATCCAACTCATTCTTCCCATAAATTTTGAATAGCCGTACCTTCCATTTCATTCTCGTAGAACCCATGTGGTATCCGACCAATGTATAAGACTGTAGCTTTCTTTTCCTGGGGTTTACTGACAGGAAGTTTTTTGGCAGGAACACCTTCTAAAGACTTTAACATGCAATTAAAAAACATAAGATATAAAACTTTGATATAGATAGAAAAGAAAAGGTTTGCCTAGCTGAGAAGCAAAGAAAAAACTATTAACATACCAAGAAATCGGCAGATTCCTTTTGCTGACTGGAAACTAACTGAGGAGACACCTTCTTTAATTTCTCCTTCATAGCTTTCTTTTCCTTAGCACCCATCTCCCTAGTATAACATAATCAATAATATTTTAAACATTAAACGTCTTAAATAAACAACTATTATTCACAGCAAATCAGCTAAGAAATCAAAGAGGGATACTTGCTAGGATTTCAAGGCAATTGAATAGCCTTTAGAAAATAAGTCCAAAAACTCTAAAGAATAGAATCAATTTAAAGGTCACTCAGCATAACAGGAAGAGCTAAGAATATAGCTTTGATTCGGCGAAGCTAACTTTTCTACTCCGTGTAAACTCAAACCTGAAAGACTACTACTAGATTAAGGAGCAATGATACTAGGTTCTAGGTTAGAAAAGAGCTGAAGGAATTGCCTCAAAACTCTGTGTTTCAGTTTAAAAGCTGAGTAGCCTGGCTTCGAAACCCTCATGAACTTTTGCTTCGATTGCAATTACAGAAACGAAAGAGAAAAAAAAAAAAAAAAACAGAGCTAGAATCAACGAGGAACATAGTAAAGAAAGTCGATTAGTACCTTGATGCCGATTATTTGTGAGTTTTCAACAGCCGACAAGAGAGATGAAGAAGACAGTCGATGGAGTCGAGCAAGGCGAGCGCAGAGAAGAGGAAGGAGACGTTGGCGTCGGTCCGCCACTAAAGAGGCTAAACCTAATTTAATTTAATATATTTATATTTATTTCTATATAAAATAAATTATCAAATGTAACTCCGTAGTATGTTTATACACTCTTTAAATTCAACAATTATTTTTTTAATGTCATAATATACAATATTATTTATTTAAATATTTTTTTATATAAAAATATAATATAAATATAATTATATATTACATAAATTTTGGATCACATATTATTCTCCTCATATCTCATTAATCCTACAAATTAAAGTATGATAATTTTTTTATATTTTATCATAAATTTATTTATTTCTGCATAATTTTATTCACATAAAATAGTATTTTGTATTATATTTTATAAAGTTATAAAAATTATATTTCACTTATATAATTTTTATTCAAAAGTACTAAAAATAGTTTTGAACAAAAATTATTTAATATTTCATAAAAATTATTTTAAAAAATATTATTCATTTAAAAAAATATAAATTTTGTGTTTAATAAAAATAACTTTTAATAATTCAAGTAAAAAATTTTTACTATTTTTTAAAAATTACAATATATAATATTAGTTTTTATACGTGTTAACAGATAATCTTACCTTACACTTAAAATTTTATCTGTTCGATTAAGAAATACTTTTACAATGCAAAAGCTTAGCCAAGCATACTCGAAGTTCGTTAAAAAAGTCTACAAACAAAATCGAAGAAGCTGGAATTTGACAAAGTGAAAATTTTTCTATACGTACTCAAACCCTCTATGTTCTACTTCATGTTGCCTCCTCGAACAATCATATGTCAGTGATGTATCATTATAGATCTTTTACCATCAATCACTATGCCGGTGGATAAATTTTGAACATAAATGTTACACAAGAAGGACATTTTAACACCAAATTCATGTACCTTCTAAATATGGCTAATTAGGGGCATTCCAAACTTGTCCGGATCGAAATATGACTTTCAAATTAAGTTCCGAATTAGTAGATATTGCCAAAGAAAGTGGCGGTGAGATACGCAAAAAGAAAGAGACTCATAGAATGGCAGAGTCAAATAGAACTTTTGCATATTTTCGTTAATTCAAGAACAAGATCTACATAGACAATAGATCCATGTACCTTCTAAGTTTTATCAATCCCTAAAGAGTCAATAAAAAGAACCAAAAACTGCAGGGATTGTGTAAAAACCTACAACACTATCCCTCTATAACAAAATGACAACTTGTGGCCAATACCTAGAACATATGTAGAAAATTTCCATCTCAATGCGAAATCGACTTATAAATCTACCAATTTGCCTCAAAATTACATCCATAGTATGCTTGACAATTCAACAGATAACATCGTTAATCATCCAAGAGAACGCCATTGCATACTAATTAAGCAAAACAGATAACAAAAAACCCATGAATGAAATTTCGGAGCATCTATGGCAGAGTAAGTGAAATTTATCCAATCTCATCTTTCATTCAAAGCGACTGATGAAGAGATAGAAATGCACTTAAACAAAGCTATAACATCTATGGTTCCTAATATCTTTCTTATCATTTTTCTTTAGCTCTTTGAGTTAAACTAATAACTAATGAACCCTTCTGCATTCTGAGTTACTGGGACAAAACAACAAACTACTAGCAAATGACTACTCAGAGCAGCAGCAAATTCCAGGGTTCACCATGTCATCTGGTGCCAGAACTCACATCAGATGATTCATGATCTCAAGATAACATAGCAAGGGACTGAACCTATATGCTAAAAACCCTGAATAATCTTTAATGGACAGTAGAGTGAACTGATACAAATAATACTCAATATCATCTCTCTCCACATCAACACCCAACTAAATTGGCTACAAGCAATACTACCCAAATCTCATGAATATTAAGAACAGAACATCATGTACAATCAAATTACCTCAAAGAAAATTATCAAAACAGTCTTTTTTTAGGATCAGTACACAACTACAAAATTGGAAGAGCTCGGAGGTATTAAAAAATTGATCAGAGAAGGGTAATGAGAATGAAAATGAGAAGGGCTGCAATAAAAGAGTATTTAAGAGCAGCAACAAGAATAGCCAAAGAGATCAACAAGAGTTGCCACAGAACCTGAACACTTGCCCAAGTGAAGAGACCAGCCAATCCAACGGCCAAGAAGTTGTCAGCATCAGGATAGAGCAAATCACTCCATCTCAGATTAAACAGAGGCCGTGGATCTCTCTTGGAATCATCACTACCCCCACCCTCACCACCATTAACTGAACCGTTGAGCTTCTCTGTCACAGATTCCTTGCTAGATTCTCTGTTGTTTGAGTCGCTTTCGCCGTTTTGAGCGAACAACGTGAAGCTTGAGGGGGTTCGGGGGGTGTTAGGGGTTCGGAATTTGAGAGGGAAATACGGGAAAGAGAGGGTAGGATTATGAATAAGTACAGTGACTGGTTTAGAAGAAAAAAATACCTGCGGGAGTAACAAGGATGTGAACCCTAACATGTTATTCAGACGATCATCAATGGCGGAAGGAAAGGAATGGTCGACAACGGGACGAGGATTTGGGAATTGGGGGGTGGAAGGGGAAAATCACTAGATGAAGTAAAGGACAAAACTGCCAAATCAGGCACACACAAAAATTTCGACCACAGTGGGAGTCGAACCCACGACCTTTTGATCCGAAGTCAAACGCGCTAATCCACTGCGCTATGCGGTCAAGTTGTTAAGTTGCTTGATAAAATCATATCAATTCATCAGTCCGGTACTTAAAATGGAAAAAAAATTACCATGACGGTAAATTAAATGCGACCACAGTGGGAGTCGAACCCACGACCTTTTGATCCGAAGTCAAACGCGCTAATCCACTGCGCTATGCGGTCAAGATGCTGCAAGTCTTATATATCTTTATATATTTTATGTGGCAAGTTTGTCCTTTTTATAAGGTTATTTATTTTATTAAATTTTGATAATGTGAGGAGAAAATAAATTCTTTTTAGTAAAAATCAACATATATTTACTCTTATATTAAGTAATAACGAAACTTCTAATATCCACATAATAAAATTAAATAAGTATCATCTTACCAAAGGGTATAAATTTTTATTTTTAATTTTGAACTAAGTTTTATATATAATATAATAAAAATTAAATTTATACTAAATAATTTAAAATAATAAAATTTAAATACCATTGACTTTGGTGTATGTTAAATTAGCATATAATAATTAGATTCATTCACCGACAACAAGCAAATCAAAAGCAAAATCATTAATATTTTTTACCTTGTCCACCCAATATTATTAATAAGCGAGTAAATTGATCATATACAAATAATAACAACAACAATACCTACCAAATCAAAAAAAGAAAATTTCCATTCATGGCTTTTTGAACTTTTTTTCCTTTTAAAGTAATGATGATGTCAAATTTCCTCTCACAAATTGATTATATAAATTTTATTTTATTTAAAATATTAAAATTAATTGGGTGGGTCAACCATGACGAGACCCGACCCAGTTATAATAACTCATTTATCTAATTTTAAAATTAAAGTCGTTGTTAGTTATAACATTAAATAAAAATTATCTTTTATTTAAATAATATGTAAAAAGAAATAGAATAAGGAAGAATCACGTACAGAGAAAAAAAGAAGAAAAAAATACACATTATCTCTCATTCTCTTACAACAAAAAGTTATGTTTATATAAAGAAGAAGAATAAAAGATTCTTCGTTCAAAATTTTAGATTTGTACAAAATATATTTATGTCGTGAAAATTACATACATTTCGTCATATGTTAATGTGATAAGTGTGATATTATGCAAAACAATATTAACAAAATAGTTACAGAATTATTTTATAAATTATATATTAATTATATGAATTTTTTAACACGAGATAAATTTAAAAAAATATAGAATTTATTTACAAAATTTGCGTATATAATACACTAAAAAATGTAAAAAAATTTATTATGAGTCCGCATAGTTTAATTATAAGAGGGTGTGATTAATTTGTATCAAAATGATGAAATATTTAACCTCACACAAAATTTTAGGTAGAATTAGAATTAATGTAATTCAAATTTCGTACATTTTCGATAAGGTTTAGGGTTTGTTTAATATCGATCCAAAAAATATTGCAAGTAATTTGTAAATTTACACCTAATTTAATTAGAATGTTATGAAAAACGAAATCGACCTTATATGAAGTTAAAAAATTACATATTCAATTATATTTAAATTAATAAAATTTTAAATTTAAATTTCATATAAATTGCATGAGAGTTTACTTTTAATCATTTTAATAACAGAGTTTTACAATTTTATAGTCTAATTTACTAATAAATTACATAAAAAAATTAGTATTATTACAAACATAATCTTAAATTATATTATTTTGATTCTACATAAAATCTCCCATAACATAATTTTATATTATTTTGAGGGAAAATCTCAAGATGTTAATTAAGAAAACGACAACAGACATACAACTTGACACTAAAGATTACCTAATGATGGGCTTTATAAAAAGGGTCCAATTTATTATTATTATTTAATTAATATTCTATAGAATAATTAATTAATATTAAAAAAAAAAACAAACAAATTTGATGCTTACTATATCAAAATAATCATCTTCATTATTGTTTTCATCACTGACCGTCCATTCTCTACACGTGCACCGACCACCGTTGATAGTTGACATCCTAGTTGATACGATTTTGACATGTGTCATGTGATATACAGCTGGGAATGGGACCCACACCTTCTCTTATAGGCAAAAACGGGGGAGTATCTTTAATTAATAATTAATTTAAGTAAAGATAATTAACTTTTGCCAGGTCAGCATCGGGCCCCACCAGTTATCTGACGCGATAGTCGGCTCATTGGCTCGAGCCGATTTCGGAGTGAGACTGAAGTCAGCAACGTTTGGGAGAAGTAATCAGATCCGACAGCCCAGCGTAGATCCTGAGATTCTTTCTGGACGGTGTGGATTCGAGGACAGGTCCTTGGTGACGTAGATTTGATTTGATTTTAGACAAATTAAAAGTTGACGTATAATATGTGTGGATCAATGAATATTCAGTGTAGATTATAAAATAACATTTTTTTACATAAAATATATAAATTAATAATTAAAATTTAATAAAAAATATAGATAGGAATAAAACGAAATAATAATTTAAAATAATATTAAAAACAATTTATTCAACAATAATTATAAATAAATATTATAAAACAAAGACATTAACTATTTCAAATTATTTTTAGGACAATAAATTGTTCATGTTTTAAATATAAATTATATAAATATAAAATATTTGACCAATTCATTAGTTTGCTCAGTTATTAATACACATATTAATAATTGAGCCAAACTAAATTATATAAGTAAAATTATAAATAAAAATATATTAAATTATAATAAGTAACCGACGAAGTAGATATGTCATCTAATTTATATTTGATTTATATTTAATTTTAAAATTTGTTTAAACAGTATAATAAGTTTATATATAAATAATGATAAAGAGCATTATGAGTTTGAACCACTCAAGTGCATCCATTGGGAGATCGTGGACTACAGTGTATAAGAGTATATATCTACGAGTATAAGAGATTTAAATATTATAATTTAATGATAGTAATTATCTGATTTGTTATTTGATGACTATAATTAAATAAATATTGGTTTATTTCTAATATCAACTTTTTGATTACTTCATTACGAACTAATTTAAAACCCTGGAGAGTACTTTAAAGGTTGATATTCGCCGAGTAACTAACCTTAAAGTTGCTCATGAATTTCACCGCTCAACTTTCTTAATTGTCCGGATTAAATTTTTGAGCGAGTTATTACTTGCGTCATTATAGACAAAACCATTAGTATTGAGTTCGTACCGTTCCATATAAACGACTTCTCAAACTCGACACCAAAATGGCTAGAGGAGACTCTTATATTGTCATAAGGAATGGGTTGTCATGATATAGAATTTTCAAAATTAAATGGATAATCTACGTGCTCAACAAATTCGTATGATTCTTTTTACAACTGAAGATGCATTCATTTATTTTCTTTCCATAACTTTGTTTATTTAATCCACTATATTGAATCGCGTATATTTTAGGTTTATAATTTTTTATCTGTACAGAAATCTTGATCCAGAAAAAGTTGATCAATTAATTACTCGACTCTTCCATTTTCATCCTCGTCTATCGCTCCACCATTTGTCACCTTTCGACGGCTCCACTCATCTCCTTTATGTACGTCGCCTTCTCCTTTCTTTCTCACTGGCCAACAAGATAGATAGAGAGAGAGAGTGCATTGATGAGAGTTGCGGTAGACTCGGATCCTGTCTCCCAAGAAAAATGGTCCAACCTTTTGACAGACAGAGAGATATCAGACATATAATACATATAATAATAATAGAAAAAAGCAATATAACATCAGTCCTTTCAGACAATTACAATATATTTGAACTCTCCTTTTTCTGGTTTAATTGTTTAATTAACATAGATACGCTCTCTCAAGCATTCTTTCTTATCATTTTTTCTTCTCTACCAAGGACAAAAAGAGAAAAAAAAAAAACCTACCTAGCTCAAATGGAAATGGGTGAGAATGACGATGGCCAGTACGAATTGACGGATCTCCGGCGAGTGTTAGCGGGAAGAAACCAATATTTTCCGGCGAACCCACAGCCCCAAAACCCTGATTATGATCATCATCACTTTCTTCATAGAAACATGTTGCAGCAATCAGCAGCTACTTCAAGGCTGGTCTTGCCTCCTGTTGCTGCTGCTGGTGGGTCGGTAGGGTTTGATCATAATCATTTCAATGACACTAATCATAGCAGGTGGCCGAGGCAGGAGACTCTTACTCTTCTTCAGATCAGATCCAGGCTTGATTCCAAGTTCAAGGAGGCTAATCAAAAGGGTCCTTTGTGGAATGAAGTGTCTAGGTAATTATATAATATATGTATATATATATATATATTGGATTAAACCAAGTGGTACTTTTGTGTCTTTGAAGTTTCTTTTTTTTTTTTTTTTGATAAAGTTCTTTAATTTGCTTTTGGGTTATCAAACTGGTGCATCATCATATTGTTAATTAATTATAAGGGGAAAAAAATAGTGAAGTAAATATTGAACTGTGACGAAATAATGAAGAACATAGTTTGGTATCTCCAGCTATTTCCATGTAAAGTGATAAAGCTTTTGAAAATTTTGTGTTTTGCTTGAGCTAAGTTTAGTAATTGAAAGTGACAAACTTTTATGACTGAGAGAGACCTTGGACTTCCTTTTTCTTGTTTTCTTTCATCACCTTTCTATTGCAAATATAATAAATATAGTTGATATTCCCTGTAATATATATGTATATATATATACTGCTTTTACAGTCTGAATTGCTCACTCCATATTGTAAATATTAGATGCTCTCTCTCTCTCTCTCTCTTTCTCTCTCTCTCTTCTTAACCAAGTTTTATCCCAGTTCAAAAAAGCTATTTTCTTGCAAGGAGGTTGGTGCTTGGAGTAGGTGATGGAATATATATATGTATGCATATACATATTGAAACAATAAGATACTTTTTAGGATGCTTAGTGGAATTTTTTTGGATCTTTCATTTAATTAACAGATATTTAAATTAATTAATATTTGATGATTGGAACTATTTAATAAAAAAAAAAGAGAGATGAGAGAGATAATATATACAATGAGATTCAAACTTCAAATATTATAATATATATGGTAGCTAGAGGAATGTTCTTGGGATCATGATGATCAACTCTTTGATTAATATTTTACAAATCAAACAATCACTGTTGCTTGGCCATCTTCTTTATGATTTTCAGGCATAATTATCTATAGAGAAAGCACCTGAAGCTAGGGTTATATATTGTTTGTTTTCCCTGACAATAATATATATTAATGTATAAATATATATGTTTGGAAATTAATCCCAAAATGCACATAATGTAAATTAAGTAATCCTATATCCACGAGCAAAATGGAGAAGAAAATTTTCAGTATGATAAAATGAGAGTACATCATTAGTAAAACTCTTATATATAGACAAAATATCAAGATTTTCTCTCAAAATATTCCCAGAATATTTCATAAGATATACACAATATATTTTTCATGATATATAGAGAATATTCATCAAACTACATGAACCATATATATGCTTGTTAATTATTTATTTTTGGGTGCAGGATAATGCTTGAAGAACATGGGTACGAGAGAAGCGGCAAGAAATGTAGGGAGAAGTTTGAGAACCTCTACAAATACTACAAGAAAACAAAGGAAGGTAAAGCAGGAAGACAAGATGGGAAGCACTACAGGTTCTTTCGCCAACTTGAAGCCCTCTATGGAGCTGATAGAACAAATCAACCTAATCAAGATCAGAGTCTCAGTTACTCGAATAACACATCTGATCAATTCGAGACCTCATCATCCACAGATAACAATGATCAGAATCATGATCTTTCAGCCATTGCCTTTATGATGAATCAAACCCAGAAGAGAGAAAATGATGTTGATCAGTTCCATGGCTGTGAAAGGGTGAGAAGCAGGAGAGGGTGGAAGGAAAAGGTGAAGGAGTTTGTGGAGTCAGAGATGAGAAAGGTAATGGAGAAACAAGAGGTATGGATGGAAAATATGGTGAAGAACATTGAGGAAAGAGAGAAAGAAAGGTTGTGTAAAGAAGAAGAATGGAGGAAGAACGAGGTTGCTCGATTGAATCTCGTTCACGAATCTTGGGTGAAGGAGAGAGCTAAGGTTGAAGCTCGGGATGCTGCTTTAATGGAGGTTTTGAACAAGTTGACCAGCAAAAGAGTACCACAAGTCTCATCATCACATATTCAAAGTAGTGAACTTTCAAGCTTGGGATTACCAAGATCATATCAAGAAACTTCTGGGTATTTGCCGAGAGGCATATGGGAGGAGATAGAAGGAAAAATGGGATGCTTGGGGTATGAAAGGACGTCAAATGAATGTAAAGAGAAATGGGAAAACATGCAAATCAATTTTAATATAATAACAGAGTGTAACAAGAAGAGAAAAGAGGATTTGAGAAATTACAGAAGTTATTTTCAGGAGCTTGAACAACCCTACAATGGCGGCCAACAAAATATCAGCAAAGAAAGGCTTGAGATCAACGAGGACTTATCTTCTAATTCTTATGGGGACAACTTAACTCATCAGTGGGGCTTGCTTTCTCATTCTCAGAAATGAAGAATAGTGTCTGTGCATGGAACAGGTATAAATGGCAAGGGAAAAAATATAATTACCCCACTCTTCGTGTAAGGTTATATATTATTGTTCCGTGTATATATATATATATATGTCTCTCTCTATATATATATATTCTCCTGTTTTATCTCATTCTGGAGGAACTGTAGGTTCATTGAAATAAAGTTAAAATGAAAAATTTCAGTTTGATGCTTCCGTTTCAAAGTTTTTGAAGATCATAGGGTTTTAGTTATCTGCTAAAGAAAGAAAGCATTGATCAACCATGGATTTTCCTTAAAGAAATTAATTCATTATTGGCTGGATAAATGCAAGAAAAAACAAAACACTTCTGATTGGGATGAAAATTCAGCATGTACTGATCAGGTTACTGACAATGCCAGTCAAATAATCCAGTCTTGACTTTTTTTATTTGTTGAAAAGAAATATATGATATTTATACCAACAACACTGTATAATATTTAGTGGTGCTGGTGCACGCAGGTTTTGTACTTATATATATATATATATATATATATATATACGTGTGTGTGTGTGCGTATATATATTGAGTATAGAGGGAGTTTTGAACGTGAAAAAGAATTGCCCTTGAATCAGAAATTAAATGCAGTACATTATCAGTCAGATGTGAATTGGTTCATGATCGAGATCTTGATAATGAATGTCATTGAACTGAATGGATGAATTGTTTCCTGTTAATAGCTTTTTTCTTCATTGTCTGGCCGAAAATCGTATCATGTACTATATATGTTTATATATATATATATAGATTGAAGTAGATAATGTTGAATTTTTTCTTAAAAAAAAAAAAATTAACTCATCTTATTGAAAATGAGAGAAAATAAAAATAGAGACTAATAAAAAATTTTAGTTTTTCATTGTAGTAGTCACTATAAATTTCTGAAGTACATGAATATATATATATATACACACATATTAATACTACTATTAAAATTTTATATATGTGAATCATAATTATGTGTAATAAATGAATTATCTAAAAAATTTAAAAAATACATAATAATTATCATATTTATAATTTATATTTAATTTAACTCAGATAAAAAAAATAAAGAGTTTAGACTGTTAGGTTTTAAATTTGTAATGTGAGCTTATATGTATAAAAAATCGTACATAAAAGATTATCGAAT